TGGCCACTTTAAGACTTGTGGACTTCAACTCCCAGAATTCCTCAGCCAGCTGAGGAATTCTGGGAGTTGAAGTCCACAAGTCTTAAAGTTGCCAAGGTTGGACACCCCTGCTCTAAGGCGTGTTTTCCTTCTGAACAGCTTGGCTTAGTGTAGGAAGGAAGAAGTCCACTGTGTGGAAGGTCTACCTGCAGCTTATGGGCAGGCATCTTTCAGAGGTCTTAAAGTGCCATGGCCCTCTTTCATCTCCACTGTCATTCTTTCCCAATGTCATATTCATTGTATTAAAATATATCCACCTGGCTTCTCAACATATGATGACTCACAGAGTTAACTCATGCCTAAATGACAAATCATAGGGCTTTTTCATAGCTACTGCCAAACCAACTGTTAAAAGAACCTTATTATCAGCAATAATGATGTAATGGATGGAGAGAAGTATATTAGATACCTGCAACTTTTACCAGAAATCCTGGATTTACTTGTATTGGGAGGGAAATACATTTAAACCTTTTCCTCCACAGACTGCTACTCTGATTCTGAATATGTGTGCTAATACCACGGCTGAAATGTTGACTCACCTATGCTTTAAAATACCTTGAACTGGAGCCAGAAATTCAACTGGTATAGAAGAAATGTTACGTGTTTTGATCATTTTGCCTCAAATAATATGCTGTACCAGCTGAAATTTCTAAATGGTCTCTTCAAACCTGAGCATAATTAGATTCTGTGATCATTGTTGTCTTCTCTATTTTGAACCTAAGAAAGCTGAAATCTGAGAAATCTAAACAGACCAGTGCTTAATTATGTTGATTTAAAAACCGGGGTGGGATGACAAGTAGGTGTGATAGTTTGAAAAGGTTTATATGTGCTCTCTCCAATACAGAATCGAAAGGTTAAGAAGTAGTCATTACTTCTGCTCAGATTTATAGAATATTATCTCCCATTATACCATTCCAAAAACCTCAAGAAAAGAACATGATTTTAGTTGAAAAAAACTGACCCTAATTCATCCATCTATCCTCCCACCTGTCTCATATTTTTCTTTCTGTTAAATTGCTACAAGCAAATATTTGATAGAATTTAACCACTGATATTCCCCATCTTCATGTGGGCTCTGCCTCTCTTGTTCAATCCAATGAGAGAACATTGAAGACAGTTCTATGTTCTATCCAACAATCTATTTACCAGAAGGATTTGTAATTTTAATCTGCATGTGTCTGGTTAAATGAGGAGGGAAAAATGCTTCCTCATCTTGATCAAGACTAACTAACAACAGAAATGTCGTCATCACGTTACTAGAACCAGAATGAATTACTAGACAGTGTAACATGAGCTCCTGAAGGAACCATAAAAAAAATGTGGAAGCTCAATGAAACAATTGATTTCTGCTTGTAGTCTTAATTAGATTTACACAAAGGGTACAGAAACAGTTGGATATGGCCTTACCAACCAATTGAACTTATATCCTGCTACAAACTATAAATCCAGAACTAGAACATTCTCAGCCAATGGCTGCTCAGTATTTGTCATAGTTAACAAGATTAAAGTTCTGTCAATCTGTTTAGCTGAGTGAGAGCTTGACTACAGAAAAATTACAAAGAAGCTGGATTATAATAGTTGACTAATTTATTCCTATCTGTCTTCATTACATATTCAGGTTAAAGGCTAATATTTTATCTGTTTTTATTTTCCATATTCCCACTAAAACATTCAAAAAAGTATGATTCATGTACAAAATATATTATTTCCATTAAAAACACAACTGATCACAATAATACCATCTGATGCAACCTAATTAATGCAGGAACCACAAAGCTAGTAGATTCTCAACAATGGAGGAAGACCAATGGGATTATCACAACTCTGAATAATTGGCCCCATCGTCCAATTGTTCTATTTGTCTTAATGATCAGCCAAGATCTACATGTGTCTATCTCAAATATGAAATGTAGTTGAAGCGTCTCTTCTGTAAGAGAGCTTCTTTTTCTATTAATATCCTCTTATTTTCCTCTTTAGCAATCAGTTTCCTTTCAAAATTAAAAAGAAAAGTACTTAATTTCATTTCTTATATTTATATTACCAAAATGTACCTAAGAGTAGTTTTAAAAATAAGAGCATAAGCTAACAGAAAGTATGGGGGAAAGAGGGGGAAAAGAAACATAACAAAATATGAAGACTAGATGATAGCTATGGCCTATCAAGATGCACAGGCCCTAGAGCTCTGAGGCAGAACACCTCTTTTCCATGCCAAAGGTGCCAAGTTCATGCCTTAGCATTTCCTGAAATAGTTCGGGGAAACTCCAATAAGTGAGATATAGAAAAATCATTGTAAACCAGTACTTCAACAACACTGTGCTAGATGGACCAGTGGTGAAAGGCACTTCCTATGTTCCTAAGAATAAAAGCATTTTTTTAAAAATAGTATTCTCAAGAGCAGGGACAAATTATGAAGAAAGCTTTACCCTGCCTTAAAAAGGTAAACACGGTGGCACCAGGAGGTTAGATGGAATATTCTTGGTTGGAATTGAGCTGCCGTATTATCAATTTACATCAATGCATTCAATTTTGGGAAGAGGAGCATGCAGCTATGCATTCATTGCACTGTGGGGGGGGGGGGGGGGGGAGAGAGTAAAACGTGTAGATTTTTATGGTTATAAGCAGGGCTGTGTGTTCCACATCAAATGTGTGATTCAGAAAATTTACATTTGAACTTAAGCAAGTGGATATGCTTTTATTTGGCATGAATCATTAACTATTTTCTTTCCAAAATTGAATTGTAATTTTTTTTTTGCAAGGAGTACACAGTGGATATGACATGGACATCAAGGTTACATAAACAATGACATCAGAAGCCAGAATATAATAATTGTTAGAAAAGGAAAGAGGATTCATCAAATTGGATGAGAGATGCTTGCTTCATCCGGCTGTTCCTCATACTTCATGGGCTGTTCAGGGAACAGCATCACTAAATTGACCATGTGCAGTTATGCATATGCCCTCAGTCCAGAATGGTGAGGACAAAAAGGATGGATTCCAAAAGGATTTCTGGGGATGCACACAGCTCTGGTTACAGGGGCACAGGAGAGAAACAGACACGGTGTTTACTATGCATGGTGGTGCAGATTGGGGGAATTCATCATGCCCCTGCATTTGGCAAATATGTGTGAACAGAGCGTCAACTTGCTTGTTTTGAGCAGATCCTCCTGTCTTCTTCTAACTTCTCTGCTTCTCTGCCTCCCTCTGTACATCTTCCCTCCTCCTCCCCATTGCGTACTTGCCAAGACTCCTGTTGTATGACAATAAATCCATGTGGGTGAAGGCTGGTCCATGGGGAGGGGGGAGGAATGCTGTGTTTTTCTGCCTTCCCCCATTGCACAGCAGGATAAAAGGCCACATAATCTTAGGCGGCTGAAGACCCCACCGCTCCACATTCCGCCCCCAAACCCAGAGGAGGAAGAGCAGCCTACAGGGGGACTCTCCATATTGGAGCCCCCTGACTTAGCTGACATACTTACCTGCTCTGAATAGTCATTTCCGTCTACGTCGTCACTGTTGGAGTGGCCTCCGGGGCTTTGTACATCTATCCCATGACTCTCCAGGATTGCTGCTTCTTCGAAAAAAGCAAATTGATCCCTGAATTATCTGCTGGAGGGTTACCAATAAGGATGAAGATGAAAAACCAGAATCTTCACAAGTGGGGCATCTTGTTTCTTGTAAGAACCTCAAAGAAATACTCAGAACTATGTTGTTGTTTTTTAGTTTCAATTCAGCTATGAGAAGAAAAAAAATCTGCAAGCCAAATTCTGCCAAAGGTTTACTCAATTTGCAGAATTTCTGATGCAGGCTTGGATAATTTCTAATTTTACATAATTTCCTGTGGTCTTACAAGTACTGGGGGAGAGGCAACTGTCTTTTACAGGATACTGAAATATCTTTCATGACTGCCTCTTTAAATTTAGAGTATTCAAGCAAATGCTATTTATGGATTCATAAGGACTGGAAACTTTCCCTCTAAATCAAAATAGCAATTCTCAACAGCTGCATTCTGCAACTGGCATCGTGGTTTGGGTTATCTTCCTGCACCCCTGTAGAATCAGGTTGCACACATGGAACTCATCCTACCAAATAGGCTTGCATTTAGGACCCTTCTCAAGAAAGGGACAAAATGCACATTTGATTAATGAAACCATAATCAAAGGAATAAAGCAACACCTCTCTTTCTCTCTCTCTTATCTTCTATGTAATGACTGTGACTATCCCTTTTCTACAGTTTAAATTCTGGCTTGATGGTTCTTACAATAAACCCACACCCTAAGTGAAGTCCCCTTTTCATCTTCATTTCAATATGGTGCAAGCCCCTTTTGTGCATGTTGTTGCACTGTTAAAAAAAAGGAAACTTAATTTGGTTGGAGGAGTATAAATGCCAATTTAAAAGAAAAAAAAAATCAGTTTCTATCCAGGGTCATCCGCCTTTGAAAATATTTTATAACCCCAACTGGATCTCTAGCTGGCACCAACCCCTTGACTGCAGAGCTTGCAATTCTTGTCCCTTGCAATAGAAACATTCCAGGTTGCAACTCACAAGTTATACGAAGATAGCAAGATGCTTCATTATTTTTTATGAGATTGCAAAGCATCTTAGATTCATGCAACTTTTTTGGTCTGCTATCCATATCGGTGTTTGGCTTTCTCATGCTAAGGGACAAAATCTGCCAGCTTCCTTCTGGTGTGGTTCCCCCCCCCCCCCCCACAGGCACCATCTTGCTATCTCATCCTAAGGAAGTATAAGAACATAAGAAGTTCCCTGCATGGATCAGCTCAAAGGTCCATCTAGTTCAGCATTCTAGTTCCAACAATGGCCAGCAATGGCCTCCAGGAAGTCCACAAGCAGGACTTAAAAGGCACAGCTTTTCTCTGGTGGTTGTAATCTTTAGCAACTGGCATTTTGAAATACATTGCATCTAAAACTGCAGGTTCCAAATCACCATCCCAGAAAACAGCCAATTAAAAACTCCTCTGCTCCATCGTTTGGTTTCATGCCCTATAAAAAATAATTTAATTGTGGGGTAACCACCTTATTGTGTAAAACTGTCAAAAGTTTGCTTTTTCTTGTTTGTTTTCTCTTGAATCTGCTATCAGTCAATTTCAATGGAAGAACCTGAACTCTTAAATTATTTAAAAAGTTCAGAAAACTGGGGGAAGATTTATACTTGAGGTTTTTCTCCGAAAGGATACACAAATTAAAAATTCAAAGCAAAAAGAAATTAATTTATGTAATTAATTGCACATTTATATGTTAAATATTTTATATGATAGATAGGCACAATTTAAAGCTCCTTTTCTTCGTAATATGTTAGAAAACTGTAATGTGTTATTTACTATTCTATATCCAAAGCATTTCAAACTCTGGAAAGTACTGGATACCTGTATTATTTATCAGTATACAAGAAATGCTAATTAAAGTGAGGACGTTTCTTTAAATATTTATTTTCTCTAGCAAAATGTTAGGTGCTGTATGGTATTATATTTGTGACTGTGGTGAGATGATAAAGAGGGAGAAGGATGCGAAGGAAAACTAAATTGGGGGACAGAGATGGGAACATGCCTCTGTTTATGGCATCAGAAGGGCTTAATCAGAAGATACATTAGTCTGTGGCCGAGAGTGATCAGCTGTAAGAGACATACCCACAGGGACCTCAGCAAACAATTATGCAAAGCTTTCTTCCTGCCCAGCTGTTGTTGCAGTCATCGCTCCCTAGTTTAAACTTTTTTTTTTTTAACCAGCAACAGCAACTCAAAATAGGCACGTGGCTGCTTCACAGGCACAGGGTTATCACTAATCCTTCCTCAGTCCAATTTTACCAATTCGCTAAATATCTGCAGGGAATAACCGTTAAGGTGGGAGGAACAAAAATGCTGCTACTCCTGTCAGCCAACTCTATGTGTAGAGATATATAATGGGGAGTATCCATTGCTCACCTGCTTCTGTTCCATTTGCATGGAACAAGAAGCTACAGCCAAGGCATGAAAACATAAACCAGAGTTTCAGATCATAGTTATGTGGAACTTTTTAGTTACTCCTGGGCTAGAACAGATTTGGACAGCAGGCTGAGACAAGCTTTATAAAGATATATGTGTCATACAAACTTGTTCAATAACTTGAACAGCCTCTGCTTCACTTTGAGGATATTGGGAGAGATAAGGCAGATTTTAAAAAAATAATCCAACTGCAAGGAAAGGTTTTCACAGCAAATTGTTGGTCCCAAGCAATGTGGTACATTGTAGAACATTTTGAGGTATGTTTTAAGGTTCATATATAGCACTTACTATTCTATTGGGCCTTATTGCCAATTTAAGTACAAATTCATTACTGTATGGCCTAAAATTCCCAGGTAATCACAGTGATAGACTAAATATATTTCATCCGTTGATCTTTTCATCAGAGCAAGTGCAGAGAAGTTTCCAACAAAACTGGTCATCTCTAGGCTTTCTTGAAATGCATGATGAAATTCCCTGACCTAAGGGACTTAAGGATGCTATCATACACATATACCAATGCTTTTTGACAACATGTTAACATTGATGAACTGTTCAGTAACAACAAAGGAAGAGAGAAAATTTGTTTTGACCATGTTGTCAAGCTTTTACTTTAAAAATATTATCAAGGCTGTTTTCCTGTTAAGAAAAGTCAATCATGTTCCATCTTTCTTCAGCAATTCTTCAAGGCTGTCTGATACATTACCAATATTGGCTCGCCTCTTGATTTCCTTCCTTCTATTGGCAAACCAATTGTACACTTTGAGGGAGGTAACTCGCTCCAGATCTGATAGCTTCTTTCCTGTGCAAAAAAAAAAAAAGAAAGAAACCCTGTTGGTTATACTTGCTTTTAGAGGCTCCAGGACAGGATTTAGAATAGAGTAGAATAGAGTATCAAAGTTGGAAGGGACCTTGGAAGAGGTTATTTTCTAAATAAAAATAAAATAAAAAATAAAACCCAAACCTAAAAACCCTTTTAATAGTTTTTTTGAGACATGAGGGCTACAAAGTGAGTATAACCACATCACACATGGAAGAGTACCTAGGACTGAGGAAGACGGGGATTTTAGGGCTTAAATTAGTCTACTAGTGTTTCCCATCAAATCCAATAAACAGCAGCATCTCCGAGATCCTCCAAAAAGGAACTTCGGACCGCAGATTGCTCAGCTTACCTTATCTTCACAACCACATGCAGCATTTAAATCCCACCCTACTTTTTGTCCTTCTGAAGCACCCTTTGACTATACTGTTGGGTATTACTCAGTGCAACTGCCCAAAAAATATATCCTGCCCTTTTGAAGGTAGAAACAGATGAACACTATAGCATAAGAACAAGAAAGTTAACACTATTAATTGAGCACTTTTTGTTTTTTAATTAAAAAATGGCTTGACATACTTTGAGCTTCATAGTTCTCTTTCAAAAAGGCTTTTCTGTTTTGAAACACTCCTCAAAACCTGATGGTCTCTCCCCCCCCAGATAGCAAATCTCTTATTTTTTAAAAAGAGAGGGGAGGGGAAGGGAGAGGAGGGGAGAGGGGAGGAGATGAGAGGAGAGAGCCACATATCCCCTTTTTGGCTTCCTTGTGTACCTGGCTTTTGAATAACTGCATTACAGGCATTTGCAATTTCTTCTCTCTTGGCCTCATCAGGATATTGATTCTCATTGAAGTAGCTACAGAAACAAAGAATGTATTCATCTTAGAAATCCCATTTCTTGTACCCACACAAAGCAAAGACAACAAGCTCAAGACACAAATCTTTAAGAAACCCTGTACAGAAGAAAAACATCACCAATGTTGAATGTATGAAAGACACTTGTAGGCTGTGAAGAATAATGTTCTTCAGTGCTTCGGATTTGAAGCAGGGGGAAAATGCCCATCTAACACCTGTCAGCAACTCCTTAAAGCAGCTGCCTCTTTTTCTGCAATCATTGCAGAGTAATCCCAGGAAGAGAAACCTTTGTCTTAAAGAGTTGCCAATGCTTTTTCTCTTTTGAATCAGAAGAGCTGCACAACCAGAGTGCCTATGAGCCAATGGTCAGAGTTCAAGTCAGAGGTAGGCAACCAGAAGCACTTCAGGTTCTTTAAAAGGTTTTCCTCCTGATAATAGATACGTAACAGGATTAAGAAAACTGTCACCATTAAGCATGATTTATATCCAGGCTTATAAAGAGATTTACACATTATGAATTAACATTACTTGAAAATGTTACTAGCAAAATGTGATAACAGCCATCACATTCATCATTCACAAATGCATAAATATCCAGGTGAGGAAGAAGATAAAAATGTGTCTCCAGCAGCTAAAATATGTGCTAACATATAACTGACCACTTAACAGGTAGGCTGGTGAGATTTATTAAATATTACTTAGAGGTTCTGGTGTATTAATTTTTTGGGCATGGAGCCCAGTAAACTCCTAAACTGTATTATCAGAACACAATTTGTCCAGCTTCAAGACCAAGTTAGGGACATAGGCTGCTTTCTACCTTCTGGGATATTTCAACCCATTTCTGGATTATATTTGTTGAATTTATATTCTACCTTTTTACTTAAAATACAAAGTCCAGTTTCAAAACACTGATAATGCACCATTAAAAACATATCAATAAAACCCTTGCCCACCCATTTAAAGCCCACTAAGGAGGCTTTCTAGATGAACCATCAAAAACTTGTCCCAATAAAATCATTTTTGACCTGCTAGTGGAAGAATAATTGCTTGTCTGAATTATCCTGGCAGGGAAAGTTTTCTTTTTGTTGTTTAAAATGATCCCTCCTCTTATCTTCTTGAAGATTTAAAGAAAAACAGGCAGAATTCTAATTCGACTTCTCACTGAGAAATATTTATCAAATTTTGACCCCACCCATCTCACAATCCAAGTGACACTCGGCGGTTTATAAATTTAAAAAACGTGCCTTCCAGTAAATTCAAAACTGCTGGCATAACTAATAAGCATTAGATTGCTATTAATATTTTTAAAATGTGCATATTTTATTATCTAATCCAAGAAACCTGGCTAGAAGTTTGGATCAGCAAGGACAAGTCCCAGAAAAATTCAGTCCCATCTACATGTTGCTTTTTCAACCTCTCCGTCCTCTTGGCCCAATGCCCTCCAGCCTCCTCAGCTATTTTGGATGATCCCTTGGGTGTCTTTTTAGTCACCCTCATTAACTAGTGCCATATTTTTCAGACTGGGAGAACTGCTATAGGGAGAAAGAGTTGCCTCCAGCTACCCTGATCCAGAGAGTTAGGTGTCTGGCTAATGCCTCGACTGGCTTTGCTACTGCTTATGCCACTGAGCCCAGGAAATTTTTTTTGGGTGGGTGGGGTGGGGGGGTAGAGAAGAGCAGGGTAGAATGAAGGGAAGTGAAATAGACAACAGATGAAGGCAGCCAGAACTTCTAGTTCATAAAACATATGTTTTTCATTATGGGTGCTTAAAAATAGAAGCCAAATATTAACATAGATGCACAGGAGTCCTACAGCTCCCAGTACAAATAACAGACATGGGTTGTTAAGGAAAGTCAGTTAATTAATGGCTACGGAAAGTATCTTTTTTTCTCCTATTATTATTACCTGAGAGATTGGAGAATCATTTCAAAAAACAAAGAACACAGGATGGAAAGAAGAAAATAAAACCACTATAGCCCAGTTTTGAGATTGGCTCTTGTCTCCATGTTTCTTTTGTGATTTATGGGATAGACGTTTGAGAACTCTCCTTTTGTGTTCCCCAGTCTTCTCTTGGGGGCCTGCTTATCCCCTTCCGTTGGCCACCTAATAGTTTCACATCCCTCCCTCTCCATTCCTGGCTAGTTATTCTTATACAGTGATACTAAAGATACTTTCAGATTGTCATACAGCAGAGGTGACATTCAGCAGGTTCTGACCAGTTCTGGAGAACCGGTAGCGGAAATTTTGAGTAGTTCAAGAGAACTGGCAAATAGCACCTCTGACTGGCCTCGCCCCCCTCTATTCTCTGCCTCCCGAGTCCCAGCTGCACAGGAGAATGGAGCTGGAAAGCAGGTCAGTGAGGTGGGGAGGGAATGGAGAAATTACAGTATCCTTCCCCTGGAGTGGGGTGGGAATGGAGATTTTGCAGTATCCTTTCCCTGCCACACCCACCAAGCCACACCAAACCCACCATGCCACACGCACAGAACCGATAGTAAAAAAATTTGAATCCCACCACTGTCATACACAACAAAATCTTTCCCAATTTTCCTAAAGTTGCAGTACAGTATTTAGCTCAAAATTTTACACACGTACATAAAAAAAGAAGAGCCTGTTTGGTGAAATGGTTAAGGTACAAGGCTAGAAAGTGGGAGACTGTGAGTTCTAGTCCCACCTTAGGTATGAAGCCAGCTGCGTGATCTTGAGCCAGTCCCTCTCTCTCAGTCCTAGGAAGGAGGCAATGGCAGATCAATTCTGAAAAATCTCACCAAGAAAACTGCAAGGGGCTAGTCTTTAAAGCAAATGAATTAGAAATATGTGTTTAAATACAAT